AAATGGATATGGTAAAAACAGCCTCAAGCTTCGCTTTGACTCAATTTCTTTTAGATCATCGAATTAGATTTTCCCTTCGGGATTCACGTCGGTTACTTTGTTTGCAAGGGCAATCCCTGTGACTCTACTTTGTATACGAATACCCAAGGCAATCTTTGATTCCGGCTTCGAAAATTGATCTAATCAACATTAATTGTCGTAGATCAATTACCGTTTAAGTTCATGGCGACCGACTCGGATTGCTGCTTCTATAACCGTCAATTTCGATCTCAATTCCCCCTTGGCGAAGCTATCTCGCCAAGTGTGTTCCCAGGAAGTCGAATGTGCTTTCTATAAGCCGAATCTTCCTCCCACACGTTTAATCGCAATAACAATCTAGACCAAAGTCTATCTTTGATTTTGAAAACTGTTTTGATTTTGAAAAAAATAAGCGCAAAGATTGAGAGATATATTCCGAAGATATTAAGGGTCTGATTCAATTCTCCCGTTGGAATTGAGTCATCGCTTCAACTCTCGGTTTATGAAAAATTTAGCTAAGCATGAAAAAAGTCATACTTAGCATATTTAAAAACAAAGCTTGAAAATACAAGAAAAATGATAAACTTGAAATGTAAAATAAAAGAGAAAGCTTTAATAAAACTATAAAGAAGAAGAGAATTGTAATATGAGATGTGTGTTTAGGCTTACCCCAAGAGGGTATTTATAACCTCTCAAAGCCTAAGGATAAACAAAGAAATTAAAATAAAATAATCCTAAAGATAATTGTTTTTTCTAAATTCAAACTCTAAACAAGTCTTCTAATGCAACTCTGCCTCGTCCATCTTCCAAAAGGTGCTCTGAGTAGACCTTCTAGAAACCACCGCTAACTAGACCTTCTAGAAACTGCCACGCCAGACCGAGTCGTGCCCAGAGTCGTGCACATGTCTCCAGCCATGACCAAATAATAAAAAAATGCAGAATGCGCCCCGTTTTATCACTAATTCTGGAAAGCAAGACCTTGCACGAAAATAAACATAACACAACCAAATCAGCATCAATAAATTCACAAGATCGAAGAAATAACGAGTAAATATTAACGATTCTGAACACTCATCATCCACCATAAACTCTAACTTGCCTGAATTTAACCTAAGCATTTCCAAGTGGTTTCAATCATCATACAAACATGGAAATGATTCAATAACATCAACTACATAATCAAGCCTTAAATCATCAAAACCTAACCTCCCATTTATCCATCAAATTCAAGAACTTAAGGTTTTAAGCATGAAAAACATAAACTAATGGTAACAAGGGAATTTCATGTTTTCATCATAAAGATTAATTTTGTAGTTCATGTTTTCAACCAAATTTCTAATAAATTGGCTTGAAAATAAAAAAAAATATTTCTTCATACCTTATGAAGCTCACGGAACCAAGGGAGAAAAATGAACAAGTTCTTGAATTTTCTATCCAAAATATCTAAGTTTATTTGTCATCTTTTAATAATAAAATGAATTAAAATTTTATTTAATGCTAAATGACCATTTTGCCCTTGAAATATAAAGCTCCATAACTTGCCACATGTCATTTTATTCATCCAATGGTCAAAATTAAACCAGTAAGTTAGTAGTTACCAAATTTGCCCTTGGAACTTTCCAAAATTATAGCTTTGCCATTTTCATCCAACGATCCTAATTTAACATGAAAAAGCAACTTAAATCCAATGACACATATTAAATTCTTCCAAATTAAGACATGGAAATGAGATTATTAACCTTGCCTTATCATCCTTCAAAATATCTAAAAAATATGATTCGATCTGATTATCCAGATTTTTCCTGAACTTTATTGCTTTATGGCTTTTAATACAAAATCCATAAGAAAAATATGAAACCCACAAAAAATCATTCTTGGGGGTAAACTATTCATTTACGGGGCCGGATTACATAACTTTTTAAAATTACATTTTTGTCCCTAAATTTTCCCATGTTTATACTTTGGCCACTAAATTTTCATTTTGATCACTAGTCAAAATTTTGGGATATTACATTGCATGTGTTTTTATGTTGTTTGATGAGAAGAGATAGGGATGGACTATAGGGGCAGGGGGATTTTAGATATTTGCTTTGTTTGAAAATCTAATTTTATTTCTAAAATTTTTAAAAGTTTGTATTTTCCTTTAAAATTTTATAAGTTCATCCTATAACATAAAATCACGTGTTCGTCTCTGAGACACTATATTTTTTTAAATAAGATAACGAATTCAAATTTTAATAATATAAAAAAATAAATTAAGAGAATTATTCTTATAATATTTTTATTGTATTCGATCTGAATTAATTGACTAATTAATCAAATATAAATGAATATTTAAAATAATAAAAATTTCAACACGAAAATATAAAATACCTTCTGTTTTTTTTTTGCCCTCCCAATTCTAAGGCTTCGCCTTGATTAATCCGGACTGACCTGTATCACATACATGACTTTGGTGGACGAGCAAGAATTTTCTAAAGACTCGAACCTGAGACATTACTTAAACGATATCAAGTTGTTTCCACTTGAACCAATCATTGTTGGTAAATACCACCTATATTTAAGTTAATTCGAGATTTATATTACAAGAATATATAATTATGTTATCACAATTTCTCAAATGAGGCTGAATTCGAAAAGGAAGATTAAATTCAAGTTTGAACCAAATCTGTCTCAGGTTGTGTTGGTTCTTAGCGAATACGAAGAACATGTGGTGCATGCATGCACGTGGCTTTTGAGGTCTAGCCGGGTATGGTCATGGTTGGAGGCCAAAAATAAAGACCAAATATTATTCAATTTTCACCGGCCTTTTTACCAACCAACAAAACAAAAATGTATTAGCTTTATCACATAGATTTATTTTTGTTTGATTTTGTAGAAAATAATTTGGATGATTATAAGATAATGTATATTTAGAATCTTTTTTAATTATGGACGACTCTCACACATTCTGATTAACTCTAGTTATTAGTGTATATTAATCAAATATTTTATATTTTCTTGAATTATATTTAGATATACTTTGTGTTTTTTAATACAATTATATGTGATATCGATTTAATTATTTTAGTTATCATTATTATAATATTAAAAATTTTTCGAGATACAAATAAAATACCAATCAATAGATTTATATAATTAGGATTATAATGACAATCAATACATTATATAATTAGGATTAAAATATATCATTATAAGCACAAATAAAATTGTTGATAACTGAAATTTAACCGATTTTTTAATTAATTTGTGGTAAGTACAATGTAGTATTTGTTTAAAGATAATTCTCAACCATTTGACACTTATCGCTCGTGCTCCTAACATTACCAATGCTTGAATATGAGACCTCAAAGAATAAAAACAATTAGGATAAAGTTAATTGTCTAACTTAAAAAATATATTAAGCGTATAAATAAGGACGTAGTTAGAATTGAATAGCGAGAGAAATATAATTATTAAACTTAAAAACATAATAACTTATTAAATAACTAAATTTAAAATTTAGAGACAAGTCTTAATTATCTAATATCTAAATTTATACAAATTTAAATTATCATTAGATCAGAAAAATTAGGAGGCATGAACCCATGCAACTTTTTTTAGGGGTGTAAAAAAGATAAGATCTTATCAATTCGATATGTTGATTCAATCCATTTTTTTTTTATTTTCGGATATTTCGGATTAGATATCTAATTTTTTTTGGATAATCGGATAAGATAAGGATCGAATAAATTTTAATTTATAATTATTTGAAATTCCAAAAAAACAGACTTTTAGATTTTAGATAGTTTTTAGCCCAATAAACGAATAAGTTGCATTAAGTCACAAAATATAAATATAAATTAATTTTTTGTCAAATTAAATTTTATTTTGGATCTGAATATTTAGATATCCAATCCGAAAATTTAGATACCCGAAAATTTGGATATCCAATTTTTTCAGATTAGATACGAATCACTATTTTAGATATCTAAAATTTCGGATACCCAAATTTTTGAGTCGAATCGGATCCGATATCTAAATTTATACACCCCACCTTCTTTTAACTCCACCCTATATAAACTTATAAATAGATATATAAAAAATAATTTATATAGTATTTAAATGTATAAGAATCTAAATTATTATCAAATAAAAAATATTAAATATAATATAGATTGAGAACAAATATATTTATAAATTTATGTTCTCTTAAAAAATATAGGAAGTGGACAAAATAAGACTAAGCTCAAATAAATAAATAAATAAATTAGTTTGACCCCAAAATTATTCCATGTTTTGGCTTTTGCTAGTTAACATTATAAGCAGAAATCATTGTTGTGATTTATGATTTTGTCTCATTTGACAAAATCATAAACGAGAAAAAATCAAATTCTAATTGCAAAAGAAAGTCAAAAAATCATAAACTTCGTCAAAACCACTCTAGCTCTATGCGCCTGCAATGTCTTCGGAATCATCTCAAAGGGATTACTTTTTCCTTTTCATATATACAATTTTTATTTAAAATTTGTTTTATAAACATTGCAATTATTTATTTATTTATTTAATCGAACACAAGAGGTAATAACATAATTGAAAATTGAAAAAATTAACAAAAAATAATGGAATTTAACTAAAACAAATCTCGTAACAAAACTGTAAAAAAAATATAGATAAATATATTACCAAAAAAAATAAAAAAAGGAGGAGCTTTGTTAATTAAAAAATTGACAAAAAATTAAAATTTAAGATAAATATAAAAATAATTTTAGAAAAATATATATTTATAGATTACAGGATTTTTTTTGAATTCACGCGCCATGACACAAAAAGAGGTTTGATTTTATCTCCAAAATAATCAACCGCTGACAGGAAATCGACGCCGTTGGATCCTTCTTCTCACGTATATATAAACACTAAAAAGGCTTTCTCAAAACAAATCATTCAATTTTAGAAGGTAGGATTTGTTTTGTTTTAGTTATTTGTAGGGGTTCTCTTCCTTTTCCCCTCTACCCAAACAGAAGAGAAGAAAGCTCAGAGAGAAAACGAGAAGAGAAGATAAGAGAAGAGAAGAATAATGTCTTTGTCTCTAATTGTGCCATCGTCTCCCATTTTCACCCCAAAGAAGCTCCCTAAAATATACTGCAAATCGGACGGCTCATCTTTGCCTTCATCTCTCGGATCAATGGTTCTCAAGCGCCGTCATCTCCGTTATCTAGTTTGTTGTCCCCCACGAAATCGCCTCGTCAGCTCTCGTCAACCTCCTCCGTAGCGACGCCGCCTTCGTCGCCGTTGAAATCTCCCTTGTCGCTTTGCGTCTCGAAGAAACAGCTACCCTTCGGAACGGATCCGGCGCCGTCTGTTGTGAAGAGGAAGAGGCCGGGGAAGATAGAGATACCGACGTTGATGGCGGTTCAGCTGGGATTCGCGGCGGAGACGCCTAGAGGTGAGGAGGAGGTTCAGGTGGAAGGGGATGTATATTCTGTTTATTGTAAGAGAGGGAGAAGAGGGAAATGGAAGACCGTTACTCTGCTGCCGTTGATCTTGACGGAGATCCCAAACAGGTATTTCCCCCCTTCTAATTTTCTTCTTTGAATCAAATATTCTCTATCATTTTACACGAAATGCATAGAAAATTTAAGGTAGAAGCTAAGAATTATAAAAAAATGGGATTCTGTGATGAAAAAGGCTGAAATTAAGTTACTAACTTTTGAGAGGGTCTACAAAAGTAAATTTCCCATATAATCTTTGCATAACTGAACATTTAGCGGTTTTTTTCCAGGTTTTCTTTGGTATTTATGATGGGCATGGAGGTTCAAAGGCAGCTGAATTCGTGGCAAATAATTTAGATAAGAAGGTAATGGCGGAGGTGTCGAAAACTGGTGAAGATGTTGCCATTGATGATGCAATTAGAGAGGCATATTTAGCCACCGATATAGATTTGCTCAAGGACGATGTGGGTGGTGGTACTTGCTGTGTCACGGGATTGGTTCGTAAAGGTGATCTTTTCGTATCAAATGCAGGCGATTGTCGTGCTGTTTTGAGTCGAAACGGTGTAGCAGAGGCCTTGACGTCCGATCATCAACCTTCTAGGAAAGACGAGAGAGATAGAATCGAAGCTTTGGTAAACGAACAATTCCACTTGGTTCATCTTTAGCTCAAATTCAATTCAATGAAGATTAAAGAGAAAAATGACAATTCGGTGTTCAATCTTGTAGGGTGGTTATGTGGATTGTCGCCATGGTGTTTGGAGAATTCAAGGTTCTTTAGCTGTTTCAAGAGCAATTGGTGATAAACATCTTAAACAATGGGTAATCGCAGAACCAGAGACGACAAGGATAAAAATTAACCCGGAGTGCGAGTTTCTGATCCTTGCTTCGGATGGTCTTTGGAATAAGGTAATATCCTGGATCGGAATTGTTTTTGAACCCCGTTGTTATGACTTATGATGTTGAATTGAACATTAGTTTTCTGTTGCCTTTCAGGTTACTAATCAAGAAGCGGTCGATTTGGTCCGTCCATTCTGCGTAGGCCTCGATATGCCTAATCCATTTTCTGCATGCAAAAAGCTGGCTGAATTATCGTCATGGAGAGGCTCATTCGATGACATTAGTGTGATGATAATCCAGCTACAACATTTTGTTTCTTGACCCGTCAAGAGCAAAATGAATCAGTTCAAATTCGATCGACTGAGATCGAATCTCTCGCTGTTATTAAAAGCTAGAAGAGACCTCTTAGACTAGTTATACTTTAAATTTTGCTTCATCCGTTCATCCGGTGGCTGCAGTGTTGGTGGGGTTAGTAGCTTGGACATGGACATGGACATGGCAATGTGTTCCTTGCAGATTGCATATCATATTAGGGTCCAATTGGTTCCCACCCATAGAGTTTGTGGTTACCTTTTACCATTGACTCATAAGGAATCATCAAATAATTTTTATGAAGTACAGGTAGTGGAGCACTTGTAGCAGCTGTTGATGATCAACCCCACGAGTTGACATCTTGATCAGGCACAATGGGTCACATTTGGCAGCTGGCTTTCTGCACTTCTCCAAAAGCATGGATGAATTGTTTGCCAATGCTTTTCTTTTATGTTTTAGTAAATTATAATTACGGGATTAATGTAATTCATGTTCCCTGTCTTTTATGTATTAAAAAAATGCAATTAATAGCATTAGTGGGTTATGTGAATATGTGATGTATATGCTTATGTAAAAAAACATAGAATTAGTGTTTGGAGTGAAATCAAACTCTTGATATCTAATGTAACAATATACAAATAAAATATATTGTTGGTTAAATAAACCAATTAATGTTTGTTGTACTTATTTGTTACGTTTACTTGGATTGTTTGATGAGAAAAATGGATAATTGAAATTAATGGTAAAAAATAAAGAGAATTTTATAAAAAAGAAAATCGTTCTCAATTAAAATATTGGATACACCATACAAGTGATTATTAATGTTAAATAAATTTTGTATTTTCATTGAAGTTTTAAAAAGTAACAAATTGATCATTAATGTTATCGATTTATAATAAAATAGTCACCCTACCGTTATCTCGTTAAATTGATTATGTGACATGTTAATAAAAAAGTTAATATTTGCTAAACTTCCATTGAAGTTTTAAAAAATAACAAATTGATCACTAACGTTATCGATTTGTAACAAAATGATCACCCTAATGTTATCCCGACATGTTAATAAAAATGTTAATATTTAATTTTATCCTTAAACTACTGTTAAAATATCAAATAGGTCATTGAATAATAATTTTATATCTAATTTACTCCAAACTCTCTGACTTCAAATATTTCTTAGGTCTTTAAACATCACAATCTATCCCCAAATTTTCGAAGGACGCTTTTTTCCCATCACCACGGCACAACTCACTTCTGCAACTCCATTATCAGCATTTGCTAAACCTGCATAAATGATTAAACCGATTCCTACAGCAGTGACACCTGATGTGTAATGACGTTAATTTGCATTTTTGCACCAAACAAACTGATCCGAAACGCCTTTTTCCTTTTCTTTTACTTTTATCAATAAATGAAGTGGTGTTATCCCACATCTATACAAGGAGAAATGAAAGTACTTACTCCAGCAGTTAATTTTGATTCCAGAAAATTCAAAGGCCATTTTGAGTTATTTTCTTCGACGGGTGGTGGTGGTGGACTCGAAAGAACAAAATATGGTAAAAGAGCATATGCAACACCAAAGCATGAAAGTACTAGAAACGGGCAGGTGAGAATGTTGTTACCTGAGCTGCAGATATAGAAAATCTTAGTAAAATTAGACTGATAGAACTCATAAACGCTAAATACAGTATGCATCTTGGCACAACAATAAGACGGACATGGATTCAAGTCCCAGTATCAACCTCTTTCAAAGAACGAAAAAAAAGTGATGAAGATATAATCAGTTATCACCCATTTCAATACAAAAATAACATGATGAAGATAAGATGTTAGGATAAGATAAGCAGGAGAGAAGCTGAAGACCGTACCTCTTACTGTTGGAAGCAGCAGCATGCTGATGCTGTACACTAATAGCCAACATTCAATGATGTACCCATAGTACTAAATTGTGTTGCGGCCAATGCGTCGCGGTTTCCGTTGTTGCGGACGTTACAGCATCCTGCAAACCGCAGGAAATGGAAATTTGAAGGTCACCGCGACAAGCACTTCTCTGGAAATTTGATATTCGGGAGATGACGTCCTAAAACTATTCATTGCAAATGTTAAACTGTTTTTTTAAGAATTTCTAAATATGTAAACTCTCGGCCAGTCAACCTTTAGCATAATCAAGAGAATGTGAAATAGCATCGTCGTGTTTATGCTGCTTTAACCTCTTAAACTTAAAATGCATAATTTACTCCCATGAACTTGACATTAAAGACTAAATTATGCTATTGGCCTAATATGAATATATGATATACAAATGAGCAGCCTCCTATTAACGTTTCTATAAAAGGTTATAGTTAGCACGCAAACACAAACACCACAAATGGATTTAGATTCAAATATGGCGAAAGGAAATGGAAATTTGAAACTGTCAAAAGGCCTTGAAGAAACTTCTCTGGAGAAAACGTTATGATGGAGTTGCAGAAGTGAGTTGTGCCGTGGTGGCATGGAAACAAAAATTATCCTTAAAAACCTAAGAAATATTGGAAGTTAGAAAGTTTGTGGGTAAATTAGATATAAAATCATTGTTCAATAATTTATTTGATGTTTTAGCAGTAGTTTAGAGGTAAAATTAAATATTAACATTTTTGTTAATGTTTACGTCATCAATTTAACAGAGATGACGGTGGAATAACCATTTTTTACGAACTGATAATATTAATGACTAATTTGTTACTTTAAAAATTTAGTAGAACAAACGAAAATTTACTCAATATTAATGACCATTAGTGTAGTTTACCCTAAAAAAAATTATTCTCAATCATTAAATTAATCATTAAATTTATTTAATCTCACAATTTAAAAATAATTAAATTTATTTAATCTAACAATTTAAAATGTGTAAAACTTATCTATATAGTGATTTTAATTCTATCTGTATATATAGAGTGATTTAGCTCGTGGATGACTAACGATGGTTTGGTCCTCTTAACAGGTTCAACGATTGCATTCTCCTAGTTACGCTGTTCCAACTCACGAGATGAATTTTTTTATAAATATAAAATAATTTTCTTACAGAAATTAAGTACCAATGACGCATTATAAATATAAAAAGATGATAATTATTTTTAAAATTACTTATCTAAAAATTAGAATATAAGAAAAAATATTTTTAATTCTAGATTTTTTATTGTAAGATAGTATTTATAATTATATTTTTAATTATAAAATTAGAATTTTAGATAATGGTTTTTGTATTTGAAATTAGAATTAGTTAATAAGATATAATTATATTATATATTTGAATTTGAATTTAAATTTAAATTAAATTATATATATATATATATATATCAATAAATATAATATGCGAATATTTTACTTTTTTATAGTGAAACTTTATGTTTAAGTTTGCATGATTGGGGAACTATGGCTATGGAGATTTGGTAATGATTCATGGAGTTTGTGGAGGAAAGTAATCTTGGGAAAATATGGATATGAGCGTAGCTTTGATTCCCAAATCAGTTAATCCTAAAAAGTCCTCTTGGATTTGGCGTAATATTTACAGCCGATACTTGAAGCTGATGATATGTACATGCGTAATATTTGGTGCGAGTTAGGGGATGGGTGTGCAATAGATTTTTAGGAGGACCATTGGACAGATTGTAAATCGCTTAAAGTGGGTTTTCCTCGGATTTTTGCTTTGGTAAAAAAGAAAGTCGGAAAGGTGTGTGGCTTCGGTGTTAAGGCGAATGGGAGGTGGATTTGGAACATTGAACTGCGTAGGGCCTTTTTGATTGGGAGAGAAACATGTGAGAGGATTTTGTGAGGACTATTTTGAATGTTGGTGAAGGTGGAAGAGATATTGATAAGTTGGGCTGGCTGGCTTCGAATTGTAAGCAATATAGTCCATCAATTTCTGTGAATAGGTTGTTTGTTTGGGTGGTGAGAAAGACCGAATTTGGGAGCTAGTATGGGCTAATTTGCCCCCACCTAAGGTGGAGGCATTCGTCTGGAGAGTTATTCTTGGTAGAATCTCCACATTTGTAGAGTTAGCAAAAAGAGGAGTAAAGAACCTTGAGCCATTCCTTTGTGTGTTGTGTGAGAGGAGAGTGAGACGATTGACCACTTTTGTAGACGATTGACCACTTGTTGTCTTTGTAAAGTGGCGTGGAAGCTTTGGCAAAGTGGTGCTGGTGTGGGAACGTTAAGTTAGTGATCCCAAGTAATGTAAAAAGCCTACTTTAGGTATGGGAGAGTCAAAGATTGAGAAGTGGGGTCAAAACAAATTTGGACCTTGGCTTTCTTGGAATTATCTGGTCTATTTGGTTATATAGAAACGGTAGTATTTAACAAGAAAACTTGTTGTGAGAATCAATTAGTTGAAATCTCTTTGCTTAAGATCGAGTTGTGGTGCAAAAGCAAATGGCCATCTTCCTTTCCAAGTGTTCTTGATTTCATTAGATGTCTAAATTTCTTTGTTGTGCCTAAGTAATTTCTGTTGCTAGTGTTTAGTGTTTGTTGGTTGGGGATATTGCTGGTGTGGTTGTTTTGGTTTTCAGGGCTAGGTTGTTGGAATTGTGCATGTCTTTTGGGTTCTTTTTTGTCAGGGTTGTTGTGTGTAATGCTGTTTTGGTTGTGATATTTCCGGATTTCTTGTTGGTATGTTTGCAGGTGATCTGGTTTGGTTGTTAGCAATGATGTAGGCCTCTGTGGGTTGCTGTGTGATGTGATGGTTCGTTGGGTTTATTGTTTGCTTCTAGTGTTGTAGTAATTTTGTTTTTGCGGGGTGCGGTGTGGGTAGGTGTTGTTGGCTGTGGTCAATTCTGGTTTTCTTTTTTTCTTCTGGTTTGTTTCTTGGATTAACGCAGGGGTGTGGGCTGGTCGTCAAGCGAAGCGTTGCGTAAGGCTGTGTGGTAGACCTTGGAGGGGCTGGTGTGCGTGCTGTGGTGCTGGAACGTTGCCCTGTCCTGTCCAGCAATCGGCGGTGTCTTGTGCCTCCTGTCTGCTCTTGGAAGAGCTTGGTGATGCGGTTCGTGCGAGGGTAAACTGATCGGGCTAAACTGATCCCTTTCTTTCTGTTCTGTGCATTTTGTTGTAATGTCCTGGATGATGTGAGTTGTTGATAGTGTTCTTCTCTTTGACTATTATTGTGAGCGGATCGGGCTAAACTGATCCCTTCTTTTCTGTTCTGTGCATTTTGTTGTAATGTCCTGGATTGATGTGAGTGTTGTGATAGTGTTCTTCTCTTGACTATTGTGAGCGGTTTTTGTCTTGCATTATCGTCGTATAGGTGCATTCTTTTCTTCTAATTAGGAATAGAGAGATTTTTTAAGGAGGTCCGTTTTATTTTGTATGATTTGACAATAAAATTCATATAAAACCTTTTAAAAAAGTTTGTATGATTTAATTTGGGCTTTTTCATATCTATTTATAATTATGCAAATGTTATTTGTTACTTTAATTGATGATGTATTAATAATTATAAAAGCGTTATTTGTTACTATTTAATGATGATGTGAATTATTTTTATTATATTGATATAT